GGAAGGGTCGCTGCAGTTCCCGCGGTCGCCATGAGGCCGCAGCGGCGCTTCGCTGCGAGGGCCTTCAACGCTGCTTGCAGCTTTAATTTTATTTAAAATCCTGCAAAAACATGTGCACTACTGTGCAAAAGTCTTCATCGGTCCCATGCTTCTTTATACTTTGCTTCCGTTGAACCAAACATTCTTTCAGTGCAGGCTTGACATTTTTAAAGGACTTTTAAATTCATTGTTTTTAATTTTGGCTGATTTTTTTTTTCCTCCCCCTCACACTTTGTTCAGTCCAGCACCAGATCATTTAGGTTGAGCCACTAATCTCTGCCCAACAAGTTCAGACAAGTTGGGATGTGTATAAGTTATCTAAAAAAAAAAAAAAAAAAAACAGTGCATGGATTTGCAAATCTCATAAATTCATGTTTTTTTTCCCCTCCACATTAAACATAATAAACCAGTTGAATGTTGAAACTAATAAGCTGTTCATTTTTTGAAAAATAAGGTATCTGCACATCTTAAAGGTGGGGATTGAGTCATGCTTCCTGTTCTGAAGCGTCCGCTCTTTTCTTAACCGCTGTGTGGAAACATCTGAGGAGGCGAGATGATGAAGTCTTTTCGTGGAACGTCGTCCCACTCTTTAACCGTCCTGCGTCGTCTTTGCTGGAGCTTTTGTTGTTCGAAATCCTGCGTAGACGTTTCTGTATTTATGGCGTCTTTCCAGATGTGCAAGCTGCCCTTGCAAGAACCGCTAATGCACCCCCACACCATCAGAGAGGCAGGCTTTTTAAGTGCACACTCGTAACTGGCTGGATGGTGCCTTTGCTCTTTAGTCTGGAGGATTTGATGTTTGTGGTTTCCAAAAATATTTTCTTTCTTTTTCTGATCCCAGAACAGTTCTGGACTTTCAGTCCCTTTTAAATGAGCTCTGGTCCAGGGAAGACGGCAGAGGTTCTGGTTGGTGTTCACATCTGGCTTCGTCTTTGCCCGATAGAGCTTTAAGCAGCATTAGATGGAACGGTGAACTGCGTTTGCAGACGGTGATCTGTGGAAGTGTTCCTGAGCCCAGAACAGAACCAGATCTAGTTCTAATGCAGTGGCCCCCGAGGGCCCGAAGATCACGACCGTCCAGTGCTGACTGTCAGCCTCGTCCTTTGAGCTCAGACATTTTTAAAGAATCTTCAAATCTTTTGATAACGTTATGAATGGTAGATGATGAGAGCGTTTTTTTAGGAACGTTATTCTGAAAGTGCTGCTTTTATTTGAGGCAGAGATTCACAGACTGGAGAACATCTGCTCGTCTTTACTTCTGAGAGATTCAGCCTCCTTAAAACGATTCCAACGTCCCAACTGCTTCTGAACTGGGGTTGAACTTGAACAGACTTCTTTTGATCAGTTGTGTACGTCAGCCTTCTTGTGTTTTTGACTTCAGGTGTTCCTTTAATCCAGGCCTTTTTGTGTTTTTGTGAGCGCGCATGTGTGGTCAGGTTGGATTTGTGGCCAGATCCTGTCACACAAAGTCTTTTTCATTCGCCTGGAACAGAAGAAAGGAGCGTTGGACAAAAGGTGAGTGTGAAAGAGTGAGTCTGAGGCGGGCCGAGGGGAGGACGGGGGGAGAGGAGGAAAAGTCCAGGAGACATTTGGAGTTGGACGAGCACAGACAATCCCTGGCACATGTAGACCCCCCCTTTCTGTTCCACTCACTGCAGTCACCCTCCCTTCTCCCTGCCCCACCCTGTCGCCCCTCTGTTTGGACTTGAGCGGGTCAGGAGGCGGGTGACGGGGTGCTCCCTCTATAAAAGCCTTGTGTGTCCTGAACAAGCGTATTCCTGATCATGGAGAGCCAGAGAGTCCAGTCCACCTACAGGAAACGCTTTGGGCCTCACAGCTCCAGCAGCACAGGAGCCAGAGTCGGGGATCTGGCTTCCCACCGCCTCTCCTGGCATGGCACCCGTCGAACCCTCACCCACTCCAGCCCCGTATCCCGGCTCTCTGTGGGCTCCTCCAACACGGCCCTGCTGCTGGGCAGCCCCGTGGACCGGCTGGACTTCTCGGCGGACTCCCTGCTGAAGGCCCAGTACAAGGAGACGCGCACCAACGAGAAGATGGAGATGATGGGCCTGAACGACCGCTTCGCCAGCTACATCGAGAAGGTGCGCCTGCTGGAGCAGCAGAACAAGGTTCTGGTGGCGGAGCTGAACCAGCTGAAGGGGAAGGAGCCCAGCCACCTGGGGGACATCTACCAGGAGGAGCTCCGAGACCTGAGACGGCAGGTGGACGGACTCGTCAACGGCAAGGCCCGGCTGGAGGTGGAGAGGGACAACCTGGCTGCAGATCTGGAGAAGCTGAAGCAAAGGTAACTAACTCGGATCAGAGTGGGTCTCCTGAGGAACGTGTCCATCACACTGCAGGAGCGACTTGTGATCGTTTCTTTTATGGGTTTTTGAAAGGCTGGAATATTTATTTTCATAAATTCTCCTTTTGTTTTATAATAATCTTTATATAAAGACAAAGATTTGGATATTTTCTTTTTTTGTGTGACAACTAGAAAACCAGAGACAATAAAGTAAATATCACAATAGAAATGTCTTTATTAAAAAATAATAATAAACAGGAAAAATTGCTCTTTTGTGCTCCTTTAATATTTATATAAATATAAAACTTCTGGTTTTTGGAGTTTATTGTGAGAATATTGTTCAGCATCAAATCATTAGATTTTATTTTTCCATAAACTTTTTGCTGCTTAATTACCTCGTGCTGTTTTAACCAATTATATATCAAAACCTTTAGCTCATTCAAAAGACTTTTTTATGTAACTTTTATACTTTTATAAATTATTTAACTTTATTTACAAATATTTCCCCACAGAAATACACAGAGATCTCCAATTTACACAGAAACTTCATCTGTTTGAAACGTAGCTGCTCTACTTTAGTGTTTTTATCCTTTGAGCTGTCAAGGGGAGCGGTGGTGCAGAGGCTAGAGAAGGTGGGCCTGTGATCGGAAGGTCGCTAGTTCAACTCCCAGTACTGTATCAAAGTGTGGGTGGGATAGGTGAAGCACCCACACCTGTCTCCACCCTCATTTTCCCCACTCTGGGTCCTTCAGCAAGGCCCTTAACCCCCACCGTCTGCTCCCCGGGTGCCCCAGATGTCGGCTCTCTGCTCCACACGTGCATCAGGACAACAATCGCCAAGTCTTCGTGTGAGTTAGTTTGATGTGGTGACCCCTTAGGAAGGGAGCAGCCGAAAGAAAAAAACAATCCTACTTTTAGCTTTCAATTAGCCTTCTGCTATTTTTGGCTTATTGTTTTTGCTACTTTGGCTTGTAGTTAGCATGTTGCTCCTTCTAGCTTTTGTCTAGTGCTCTGCTAAAACCAAGTTTCAGCTTCTTCAGTCATTTTAAATTTTGAACTGTTTTGCTCTTTTCACCTTTTTGTTGCTCATTGGTTCAGTCAGTAACACCTAAAACCCATCAGAGACACTCTATTATCAGATGTGGACTTAAAGATATTCAGTACGAATAGGAGAGTCAGGAAAACAGTTTATTGATAAATGATCTGAAATATATTTTGATTATTACCAGCGTGAGGTGTATTTCTGTGGAGCTTTGCTTGCTGGAATGTGGTTCTCCTGGGATTTGCTCCGCCATCCCTCTTTACAAACTGGATCCCGACTGAACCCCTCGTCACAATTGAGGGGTTGCAGAGGAATGAAGCGGGCACAATGATGGCCGTGCACAAAGGGAGCAGACAGACAGGCAGCTGAACTGTCGCCCTCTCCAAAACACCAACTCGTTGACGTCACCGTTTCCTCTTTAAAGGGCCGTCAAGGCTGGAATTGAATATTTAATCTTTGAAAGACTGACTGAAAGTCTGAGAAAAGTTTTTTCTGCCCTCTGACCGTGCAGCTGCTGCTCGCAGGATGAAAAGTGATGCTGTTGCTTGAAAAGGTCAAAGGTGAAAACTGCGCTGCTTTTTTTCTGTTCTGCAAAACAACTCTGCGTGAAGCTGCAGATGTTGATCCGGGTCTCGGGGGTTTCTGGTTTTGTGTGTGTGTGGGGGGTGGGATCGGTCTATGTGCTGGGGATTGTGTGTGTGTGAGCTGCATCCCGTGGGAAAGGCCTCTGGATGCAGGACTGGAGTGAAGGTGCAACGATGCGTAAGCTCTTTCAGCTGAACTCTGCAGCACAAAAAAAAAAGCCTAAAATAGTATTTATTACTCTCGGTGCTTATTTTTTTTGAATTACAGAAAGATTATTTTGCTTATGCTGAATTGTAAAATGAAAGCTTTTATTTTCCACCGACAACATTTTAACAGAACATTTGAGGGTTTATGTATATATATATATATATATTGTAATTCATGTGAATTTACTCACTTAAAAGAAGATTTGAGATGTAAAACAAGAGTTGAGAATGTTTTAGGGCTGTTTTCTTTTTAATACTAACCTTTATTTGTAGTTTTTAACGGCTCGCAATCTTCCAAAAATATTTTTTTGAAACCCTTTGTGTCTCAGGTTGCAGGATGAGGTCGGCCTCCGGCAGGATGCAGAGAGCAACTTGAATGTCTTCAGACAGGTAATCGTGTTTCCTCCAATCTGATGGTAAATATCTGAGATTATAACATTTTCTGCCTATTTAATCTCATCCCTGTTTCTTTGCACAGGATGTGGACGAAGCAGCTCTCAATCGAGTCCAGTTGGAGAGGAAGATCGAAGCCCTGCAGGATGAGATCCTCTTCCTGAAGAAAGTTCACGAGGAGGTGAACAACGGTCCAACCAAAGGTTGAGTTTACAGACGGTCGCTGCTCGATCAGGCTCACGTTTGTGGCTTCTTGTCCTTCAGGAGCTGCGTGAGCTGCAGGAGCAGATCATGGCCCAGCAGGTCCACGTTGATCTGGATGTGTCCAAACCAGATTTAACTGCAGCTCTGAGAGACATCAGGGTCCAGTATGAGAACATGGCCACCTCAAACATGCAGGACACGGAGGAGTGGTACCGCTCCAAGGTTGGAAGACTTTCTTTTTCATTAAAGCAGAATTTTTCACGTCCAGATCTCAAATGAATAAAATGTCACGTCGTTTTATCACGGACGTTTGTTGAAATCTGTTTCAAACGTACTGTATGTTCCGGACTATAAGGAGCACTTAAAATACTTGCGCTTGTTGACCTCGAACCGGTTTGATGTGGTACACGGTGCTCAAAAATCTGTCAGAATGTTTTAGTTTCGCTTAATGCACCTCATAATCCGGTGCGCCTTATAATCTGAAAAATACGGTCAATAATCCCCGGACTGTTTGTTTCCTGTGCAGTTTACTGACCTGACGGACGCAGCCACCCGAAACGCAGACGCTCTGCGTCAGGCCAAACAAGAGGCCAACGATTATCGCCGCCAGGTCCAGGTGCTGACCTGCGAGCTGGACGCTCTCCGAGGCTCAGTGAGTTCAAAGAATCTGAACGTTTCACAGATTAATGTCAAACAGGCTTGTTTTTGTTGTTGTTGTTTTTTTGCTTTCGTCTGTTAGTTTTTCAAGTTCAAGTTTCTTTACTGTCATTCACATCACATGTGGTGCATGCGGTGGAACAAAATTATGTATTCAAGGTCCCAGTTACACACAAAATAACAAAAATATAAAGTATAAAAAGAAACAGTATACAAAGATCTAAGATGTTCGCTAAACACTAATAATGTAAAATAATACTGTATATTAAACAGCAGCCTGGACATGAGTCTGTGGTGAGTACATGGGTATGAATGAACACAGCACCATGAGATAATCAGCAGCAGATAATCAGCAGCATGCTTAGCTCATGCTGCTGATTATCTGCTGCTGATTATCTCATGGTGCTGTATTCATTCATACCCATCTACTCACCACAGACTCATGTTTAATGGTGAGTAGATGGGAACACAGCACCATGAGATAATCAGCAGCAGTTAAGCAGCAGCATGCTGATGTCATGCTGCTGATTAGCTCATACTGCTATATTCATTCCCATACCCACCCCAGACTCACCACAGACTCATGTTCAGTGGTGAGTAGATGGGAACACAGCACCATGAGATAATCAGCAGCAGATAATCAGCAGCCGTTAATCAGCAGCATGCTGATCTCAGGCTGCTGATATCTCATACTCATATATCTCATATATCTCAGCATATTCATTCATACCCATCTACTCACCAGAGACTCAAATTTAGTGGTGAGTAGATGGGAACACAGCACCATGAGATAATCAGCAGCAGTTAATCAGCAGCATGCTGATCTCATGCTGCTGATTATCTCATTCTGTTACCTTCATTCATACCCATATCCACCCCAGACTCACCACAGACTCATGTTCAGTGGTGAGTAGATAGGAACACAGCACCATGAGATAATCAGCATCAGTTAATCAGCAGCATGCTGATTATCTCATACTGTTATATCCATTCATACCCATCTACTCACCACAGACTCATGTTCAGTGGTGAGTAGATGGGTATGAATGAATATAGCAGCATGAGATCAGCAGCAGCACGAGATCAGCAGCACAGATTTTGGGTCAAATCTTAAATCAAAACATGTATTTTCCTCTCCCAGGTTTATGCACTACTATTAAAGTGTAAAATTATAGTTATACCTCCTAAATAAAGAGAATATTTGCTTTCGAGCCGTTAAAACGTGGCCCCACAAAGTGATTTTGTGAAACGCTCATGGGACTTTTCTTTTGTGCGTTTCAGAACGAGTCTCTGGAACGCCAGCTCCGGGAGCTGGAGGACCGCTGCGCCGTGGAGTCGGCGGGTTACCAGGAGACGGTGAGCCGCCTGGAGGAGGAGATCCAGGCCCTGAAGGAGGAGATGGCTCGACACCTGCAGGAGTACCAGGATCTCCTCAACGTCAAGCTGGCTCTGGACATCGAGATAGCCACCTACAGGAAGCTGCTGGAGGGAGAGGAGAGCAGGTGAGGCAGAGCTCTGCACTTTATTTAGCAACATTTGGTGCGTAATTTATTTATTTATTTATGTTTGTTCCCCTCAGGATCACCATTCCAGTTCAGAGCTTTGCCAACCTGCAGTTCAGAGGTCAAAATACAAAACAATCCAGTTTTTTCTTTCATTAAAAATGTTTTGAAGTTAAATACGTTTCACTGATTTGGGGGCGGTTATTTTTTTGTTTGTCTCAAAGTCACACACCGAGTTCTGCTCGTTTACTGTTTTTAACACCGACCTGCGATGCTGTTTATATGTAAACAAAACCAAAATGAACCCGTATTTGATTCCTAATGGAACGCAGTAAACATATCTGATTTTTAATCTATGAAATTGTGCCATTTTTGGAAATGATAAGGTAATTTTAGATTTAATGGCAGCAACACATCTCAGAAAGACGGGATGGGGCAACAAAAGGCTGTAAAGGTATGAAAAGTAAACAGCTGGAGAAGCATTTCAGATTTAATTAGATTAATTGGCAACAGGTCGTTAAAAGGAATGGATATAAAAGAGACTTTTAGAGATGCTGAACATCTCAGAAGATCAGATGGGCAGGACGTTACGATTCTGTGAAACACTAGTGGAAACTTCTCAGAATGTTGTTTCTCAAATCATCTACAGTTCATAAAATCATCCAAACGTTGGACGAGTCTGGATAAAGCACTGAGCTGCAAGGACGAGGCTGAAGGTCAGCACCGGATGGTCCTGATCTTGGGGCCCTAAAACCAGGTCTGGTTCTGTTCTGGGCTCGGGAACACTTCCACAGATCATCGTCTGTAAACACAGTTTACCCACAAATCTGCTAAAAAAAGAAGCTCTGCCATCTTCTCTGGACCAACTCTTGTTTAAAATGGATAAAAATGGTTCTGTGGTCAAACAATTTCAAATTTAAAGATCCATTTGGAAAGCACAGACGCCACATTCTGTTTAGAAAAGGGAGAATCCAGCCTGATGTCAGAGTGCAGTTTAAAAGCCTGCCTCTCTGATGATATGGGGGTGCATCAGTGTCTCTGGCACGGACTTGCACATCTGGAAAGGCAACGTCGATGCAGTAAAATATGAACCGGTTTTAGAACTGTTGAACATCTGAGCCCTCCATCAGACCCGGATGAGACAACGTTTCCTCCAAAGTCTCCTTCAACCTTGAAGGACCTCAGGTTCAGTCTTAGTTTCAACATTTAATATGTTTACGATGTTCCATCATGAATAAAACATGGATTTATGAGATCTGTAAATCACTGCATGCAATCAAAAGAAATGAAAATTTGTACTTTTGCACAGAAGTTAAAGTTTTTTTTTGTATTTTGCGGCTGCACTGAAACTCTTTCCTTCCCTTTCTCGTTCCGTTTGTTGCTCAGAAACTAATTTGGACACCAAAACCCCGGAGGCCCACGTGAAGAGGAGCATCCTGGTCCGAACCGTGGAGACCAGAGATGGAGAGGTCCGTGTCTGAACAAGTGCCATTTATTCTTCACGCACTTCTCTTCTTCTCCCTCTGGATGGCATCATTGAACCTGCTCTGCAGATGTTCACACAAACACCTTCCAACACATCCAGACCCAGTCAACCCATTTATTTGAATCTCTTTCTTTTAATTTTCAGATCATTAAAGAATCAACCACCGAGCACAGAGACCTTCCTTGAACTTCAAACACCAGCGTTCTCATCTAGCCCTCGATAATCCAAGAATTGAGCTCATTATTCCATATTAGTCCTAATTTTGCTCCCAAACCTTAAAACTTGTGTTTAATTGATCTTATACAGCTTCATCAGTTGCCTCCTAACTCATTTAACCGACTGGAAACCTTGTTATAACCGTCTAATAATACGTTAGAAATACACAGCTGAGAATTAAAGTAGTCGTTCTAAAACCACTGTAGTTAAATTCCTGTAAACAGCCGTTAAACTGAGCTGACAGTCAGAAGAGGCCTTGCGGCGTAGTGAGCGTGTTTCTCTAATATGTAGCTTCGTGGAGGTTGGCGTGTGGTTCCGTGTACGTGAAACGTGGTGGACACGAGGGAGTTTTGTGAGGTGTGCAAAACTAGAAATTAGGTTACGGCAACAAAAGGTAAGAAAAGTACGTTGCTGCGGGTTTTGACAGAGCGACAGGTAGATCAGACGAGAAAAGGCTGTTTATCTGGTGCTGCGTTTGATTTTCTTTTTGTTTGTTTCCTTCGGGGGCTTCGTCTTGTGGCTGAAACCGTGCACATCTGCACAGCTTGAGCAGATGTTCGCAGGAGACGAGCCTAAATGTGTCCAAAGTTCAGCGTCGTGGTTTCGTTTGTGTTAAAAATAAAAACACGGGGTTTTTTTTGTGATGTCTTGTGTTTGTCACTGTGAGTAACTCTAACCATGATCAGTTTGAGGCAGGGTCAAGCAAAAGGCCAAATTACCGTATTTTCCGCCGTACACGTCGCACCGCCGTATAAGTTTCATCAGTCCAAAAATGTCTAATAAAGTGGGAAAAACATAAATACGTCACATCTATTACGCGTCACCGCTGACAACCCGGAAATGGCAGCTGCAAGAGCGTGCACGGGAGGACTTTAACAAGAATTTAACAAGATTAGCACTTAAAAACAATTATTTGTTTGCTCGAAATTATAACAAAGGTGTGTCTCAGTTGAATTTTTCCTCTATAGATGGACTGTAACGGTCAAATCAGCTGCATTTCGCCTGCGCGTCGCGACGAAATGCAGCTGATTTGACGTTTGCTCCAGGAGTTCTGGAGCGAGACGAAGGTGCTTTGTATGGCAAGCCAAGTGTCTCGTTAATAGCCACTTTTACCTATTAATGAGACACTTGGCTTGCCATATTTGTCGACTGCCCTCTAGTGGCTGAAAATTGTAGTGTTCAATATTTTCCATGTCAGAATGAATGAAATTGTCAAATCTCAGCCAAAAATCGGTTAAAAATATGAGGAAAAAACATAAATATGTCACTGTATAAGTCGCAGGCATTCTAGTTTATGCAAAAAATTGTACTTATACAGCGAAATTTATGGTAAACTGTTGAGGACCTCTAAGGCGCACACTGCAAAGTGTCAGGACAGGCCTCTTACAGAGGGACACGTTAAAGACGTGGAACAGAGCACGACCTTTGACCTCCAGACCGCTGCAGCCTCCCTGCTCCTGAGTGTTCCCATTAAAGGTACTCGTTGCAAAGTCACGAAGGCAAGACGAAAAAAATGTCTTAACGCAGGCAACGAGACATGTGGGAGCGCATAATTTAATGTGTTTGTAAATTTAATATTTGTAAACAAGATTGGTGACCAGACGCCAACTAACGCACATTTTTTCCTTCTCTTGATCGGTTCCACCATCTTTGTTTGCCCACCAACCCGAGCTTTCACTCAGCTACAGCAGAGTGCTTTGTTTACATGGAGTGCGTACCTGCGTTTCAGAATTACACAATAACACATCTGGAAAACTACTGGAGCGAAATCCTTCAGACTGCTCCATTTGATGCAGTTCAGGATGGACCTTTTTGTCTCATGTAACGAGTGCCTTTAAAGAGCTGCAGGGCTGTGTTTTCATTTTAAAGGGGTTGAGTGAGGAAGCACGAGGCACCGCAGCTCCAGCACTCGCCCAGGCTCGGTTGTTTTTAGTTGGAGGTTCTGGGTGAAAGTGACGGGCTCTGCTGCTAACGAGAGCGACAATCTGCGTTTGTGCTCATCACCAAGGACACTGTTGGCTTCGCCTCCCTTCTTCCTCACTTCTCCTCCTCTGCCTCATTTTCCTCCCAACGCCAGCTCTCTGTTGAAATCATCTGCTTTGTTTTTTGACGTTGCTCCCATATTCTTTTATTCTAATGTTCTTTTAGAAAACGTTAGTTTTGACTGATGCTGTGATGTTAACAATAAAAGATGTTCTTCACCGGAGACGTCGACTCTTTCTGTCCTCCTGCCAGCTCGAGTGTTTGCGGTTTGATTTCTGTGCCTTTGATTAGAAGCTGACACCTCTGCAGCAGATCACAGCTGATCTTTGTGAAGTGAGCGCCGTAAACGCTGACGGTTGACTCCGGGGAATCATGGGGCTGGCAGCAGCACACAGACACGACTTGAAGCTGATTGTTTCAGGCCTTCGGGCAACGCCGAGCAGATTTATAACATCACGGTTTATTATAGCTGCTACTGCACGGGCAGGCAGAGCTCGTTAGGAAGCTGCAGAAGCAGATTAATGACGCTCCATTCGTGCTCCAGACTTTCAGTTTGCCTCTTTAAGTGTTAAAAGTAAAAGGAGACCGAAGCAGAAGAGTTTCACCTGCTCGTATCTTCATGCTCACACCAGCCACAGAAAAACAAATCCTGTCTTAAACTTATAAATTTTATTCTAAAATTAAAGTCAGCACGGTGGCACAACTGGTAGAGCTGCTGCCTCTCAGCGAGCAGGTCCCTGGTTCAAACCCCGGTCCAGGGGCCTTTCTGGGTGGAGTTTGCATGTTCTCTCCGTGCATGCGTGGGTTTTCTCCGGGTGCTCCGGTTTCCTCCCACAGACCAAAAACATGCATGTTAGGCTGATTGGTAACTCTAAATTGTCCCTAGGTGTGAGTGAAAGTGTGAATGGTTGTTTGTCTCGTTTGTCTCTATGCGGCCCTGTGATGGACTTGCGACCCGTCCAGGGTGTACCCCGCCCCTCGCACAGTGATTGCTGGACATGGGCACCAGTGAACCCCGTGACCCAAAATGGAATAGGCGGTAAAGATAATGGATGGATGGATAAAGTCACGCACCTCGTTGAGGGAATGCATATATCGCCTGCCGCCTTTTATCCTCAAGTTTTAGACAATGTTTGGATCATTTCAGCCTTTTTGGTCAAACTTTAAAAATAGCATCCTGCACAGTCTCGTGATTTCTTTTAGTGCTTGAAGTCTGTTCTGTGGATAACTCTCAGCTACTACCACCCATAATTTCATCTCAATAGCTGTATAATAGGCCTGTCGCGATAAACAATAAATCAATTAATCGCACGATGAATGAAAATTATCAACCTCGTTTTCATTTATCGGCTTTATCGTTTCTTCGTGTCTCTCTCTTTCTAATGAAGACACTGGATGACAACTCTGGTGCTGGTGGATCGTTAAAAGCAGCTAAATTGAGAAGCTAAGCTACGAGCTAAGCTAACAGGCCAACCTCGGGGGGGGGGGGGGGGGG